GATGCTCTGTAGCCGCACCCTGGCTAGGTACCACCAAGTGTAACCTTTTCCTATGAGACTTCCGTCCTCTGCTCCAGTCCTTGTTTAGTGGCTCAAGAGCTGATGCTTCATTGTTCTCCATCTCTGTGGCTGAATCAGAAGGTACCCAGCCCACGTGCACCTGGACAAACTTTTGAGAAAAGAGAGTGTGACCTCCGGAGGCTACCATATTCTCTCTCAATTTTCAGTTTGTTCCCATCGGAGCGTTTTGGCTTGGATTATTTTTAGTTGAAACAGAAAGAACGGGAGAATAAAATGAACTATTTTAACACCTGTCAAATGCTGCTAATAACGCATGTGGTATGCCAGGCCAGCAGCGTGACGCTGGGAGAAATGCCTTGTCAGCAGGCAGGGCCCAGGACACCGTGGTCACCCCACTGACATCTCTGCTTACTCAGAAATGCCCTCCAATGCAGCTGTTATGTGGCTACACGCCCGTTGTCCGGAGTTTCTGTACTTCCTTGCCAAGCCTTTGGCTGTGGAACCAACCTAACTGGCAAAACAGGAATGTGGCAAATGATCCCCGAGGTATGAGTCACGTTAACTATTTATATGGAAGAGGTGTTGGAGGAGCTGCGTGCCCACATGCCCTGCTGGGACATGTTTCCTTGAGTTTGCTAGATGGCAAGAGCAATCGCAGCCCGCAGCGGACTCACCCCTAAATACGCAGTTCTACATTCGGAGTTACAACCAAATTGAAGTCGTAGGCTTCTCTTGCCTTTGGATTGACTCTATTCATGGCTCAAGAGTTAAGAAGAAAAAAAAAAAGGAAGATAAAAAGTAAAGTTTCCCAGTTAACCTGCATTTCCTACTGAGGAGCTGTCAGTTTTCTTCCCTTCCAGGTTTTGCTTTTCAACTTAACGCCTCAGAGAAAATGTGTTTGTCTTCAGCCGCAAGAGGAACTAATCAGTAAGGTCATTGTCGTCTTAACAAACTTCACCATGTTAGAAGATGTTACACCGTGACCGTCCCAAGCCAGCTTCCCTGTGTGGCGGTAGTTTTGGATTGAGTCGTCTCTTAGGGATTGACTCAGTTTGCTCCTGGCATTGAACTCATGTCCCACGGCCCCGGCCCCGTGGCAAACTGGCTTGCAGTTCTTCACACTGCCAAATGCCAAGCAACGATATAAGGGATGCTGATTTTCTTTGGGGAGCCTCAGGGAGCTGCAGTCGCAATTCGGCAAATGTGCGTTGAGCTCCTACAGAATATCATTCTGCAAGCATGAGTGTCTTAGTTAGGGTTACCATTTCTGTGAAGAAACACTGTAACCAAAACAACAACAAAACAAACAAGTTGGAGAGGAAAGGGTTTATCTGGCTTATGCTTCCACATCACTGTTCATCAGTACAGAAATCAAGACAGGAATTCAAACAGGACAGGAAGCTGGAGGCAGGAGCTGATGCAGAGGTTATAGAGGGGTGCTGTTTGCTGGCTTGCTCCCCAGCGCTTGCTCAGCCTGATTCCTTGTAGAGCCCAGAACCGCGAGCCCAGGGCTGACACAACCCACACCCACAATGGGCTGTGCCCGCTCCTCTCCATCGCTAATTAGGAAAATGCCCTACAGGCTTGCCTACAGCCGGATCTTTCGGAGGCATTTTCTTAATTGAGCTTCCCTCCTCTCAGATGACTTTAGCTTGGGGACAGATTGACGTAAAACTATCCAGCGCAAAGAGTGAGACACGCTCACCTGCGCCCAGTGAGGTCAAAGTCTCAACTTACGTACAGGGGAAGCAGACACACAGGGGTCATTAGAATGTACTCTGGTAAGTGCAGTATTATTGAAATGTTCGGAGTTAAGTCTTAGGGACCACCTCGTAATTTTTAATGGAAAATCCACAGTAGAGTCAAGTTTGCCTAGTACAGTCGTCTCAAAGAAAGCAGGCTCACTCTACCGCTGGTCTGTGACCCTAGTGTCCTGCAGGCCTCTACAAGGCGAAAAGCCCAGCAGAGGAGTGACCACAGCCAGTCAGTGTTTATGTCTCCTTGGAGAGTCTCCATAAAGATTTATAGTAAGCTAGATGTTTTAAGAATGCGTCTCCCTCCCCCTCCCCCCGTTTTTTGTGACGGCAGCAGTTGGCAAAACTTGTCCATAAAGAGACAGATGGTAAACATCTTTAGACTTTGCCCATTGTGCGTTCTCTGAGGCACGTACACCTCCACATCTTATCAGGGCACAGCTACAGGCAACCCGCACGTCAACGCGGTCGGGCGCATTTCAGTATAGCTTCGTTTACCAAACCTGGACTTCGGCAGTCCTGCCCTTAGGACATAGTTAGCCAAGCCCTGCTCTAGAAGCAATATTGTTTTAATCTTGATAGACAGTTAAAACGTACTGAAGGGGCAGGGCACGTAGAATAACCTTAAAGTTGAAATAAGGACACCTGTTTAGGGTTTAACAGCCAGCACGTCTTCACCGTGCTTCTCTGATCCAGCTCACCGGGTTTCTCTGGCCTCTTTCTTCTCTATTAAAAAAAAAAAAATGATGAAATTTAACAAAATGACTTCCTTGATGTCTTTGACAATGGATGTCCTAGCTCTGTTTCTGCTAGGATGAAAAGCCAGTTGGGGAGGAAATGATTGACTTCAGCCTATAAATTACAGCCTGTCGTGCAAGGAAACCAGGGCAGGAACACAAGGCAGGGGCTGAATCGGAAACCATAGCTTACTGGCTTGCTTCAAGTCTCCCGTTCAGCTCTCACACACTGCCTGGACCACCTGCCCGGAGGTGGCCTTGTGGCCTTAGTGGGCTTGGCTGTTCCACATCAATGAGCAGCTAAGAGAATACCACACAGACATGCCTGCAGGCCAATCTGAAGGAGGCACAGTTCTTCGGCTGAGGTGAAGGAAAAGACGTGACTTCCCCAGGTGGGGTAACGTCAACCTGCTTGAGCGAAAGAAAGCGTCCAGACTTCCTTAGCTCCTTCGCCACCCCTCAGGCTTGGGGTCGGTTCCAGGGGACCAGGAAATCCCCACCTGTGCAGTGAGAGAAGGCATCCAAATATGGCGTCCTGTCAGGAGTAGCTCCTTCAAGACCTAGATTAACACTTAGGCTGGAATGGGCATTTCAGTCTTTGTTGGGAGGCTGTGGGCAAAGAACATCCAAATGGAAGAAAGTAGCTGCTGCTGGCCTCCCTAGAGTATGTGACGTGATGGGAGCTGAGTTCTGGGTACCTGTGAGTAACCTCATTGAGGCCTGAAGATGGCCTTCCTAACCTAGGCTGGAGCCACAAGTTGACTTCATTATCAGCAGTTATAATGACAGGGCCACCATGCCTCTGTGGGAAGCCTGACTGGCCTGCAGAGTTGCCAGTACCTACCCATTCCCACTCAATAGGTTGCCAGCAGGTTCCTTGTGGGTATGAATCTAGGAGCATGAAGTCTTCACCCATGCGGTTCTGGTCAGTTTTAACTGGTGCTTATGCTTCCTCTAATGTATATTAGGAAAAATTTGAACCCGCACATGGAAATATAAATATTACATAAGACTGGAGTGAAAAAAGTCAGAGTTGATGTATTGAAAATAGACATGAAGTGAATAATGGCATCTACAGTCAGAGAAGACAAAAATGGGAAGTTCATATGTGAATAGTTGAAGTCCACACTGTGTAAATTCAGTTATACGATCACTACAGGAAGAGGTCATTTTTATTTTTGGTTACATTTTAATTTTTCCAAATCTTCTGCCTATAACAGGATTATTTTCTAGTTTATAAAATTCCATCACTGGAAAAGGGTCAGATGATTCCACTTTCATTAAAAAATGTAGTGGAGGCCAGGCACTCCTGGGGGAGGCAGAGACACTCCTGGAGAGACAGAGACACTCCTGGAGAGACAGAGAGACTCCTGGGGGAGACAGAGACACTCCTGGGAGAGGCAGAGACACTCCTGGGGGAGGTAGAGCGACACTCCTGGGGTCTTTGAGATTCACTGACCACTTATCATAACCTGTCTGGTGAGCTATAGGCCAGTGAGAGAGCCTGTCTCAAAAAGGTGGGTGTCACCTGAAGATTTGTCGCCTGGCCTCTGCACACACACACACACACACACACACACACACACACAGAGCAATAATACCCAAATAACAAGATCTGGGAAGACATAGAGGTGGTGGACAAGAGAAAGCAAACAAAAGTCTTGATTGGAGTTGCCGGCTCCCTATCTCACTCCCATTGCTAAATCTTTTTATCAAAAGGCTGATATATTTTATATTTTCCATTTGAAACTTAGCATATCAAGTTGCTTTCTACTTCCTGCTTCTCTTTGCTGCACCCTTCCCACGTGGGCATCCTTGGCCACTTGTCACTCCTCCCACCACGTCCCTCTGGCCCTGAAGCTGTTGCAAGTTAAATGGAGTTCCCAGTGTAGTCCGGGCGCTGGAGGTCCAGGCTGTCCAAGTACCGTACAAGTACCAAGTACAAGTTAGAAAACTCTCAGCACCTTCCTTTCCTTGCCTGTGATTCTCCGCGGTGTTTCATAATTTATACTTTCTACTTGTATCCTCTTATTCCGTGTTTTTTTCTCTGACATCCTTAAAAAAGACTTCTTTTTCTTCCCCCATTTAGAAGATTTCCAGAAATATCCGAGGCCTTCATTTGCTCTAAGCGGTGTAACTGCTTCTGTCTGTATGAACGAAACATTCCCATGACACTCCCTTCCCTGTGGCCTTGCTGTTTGTGTGTGTTTGTGTGTGTGTGTTTGTATAAGCAATGAGTGTATTGCATATTGTGTGCCTTGTCAAATGGGGTAGCTAAGGTTTTGGGTATGTGCTGTATAGATGATTAGTTATTTTGAGTCAAGAATACTGAGATCAGAGTTTTTTCATTTTTGTTTGCAGAGTCCTGATATGTAGACAGTCACTGTAATGAGTATTCTCTAGAAAGCTAAACACAGAAGAAAATATGCCCAACACCTAGAAAGAGTAGAAACTGATTATTCTTATGTAATTTTTTTTTTTTTTACAGGTTGGATTATAGCGGGCCTTCCAGAGAGTTTTTCTTCTTGGTATCCAGAGAACTCTTTAACCCCTATTATGGCTTATTTGAATATTCAGCCAATGACACATACACCGTACAAATAAGTCCCATGTCTGCTTTTGTAGACAATCACCATGAATGGTAAGGGTTTTGTTTCTGTGACAGTTATCCTCAGTTAATTTTCTGGCATGCTAAGCTCCCCCTCCCCCCTCCAAAAGAAGCCGCGTTTCTTTAGACGTTTCTCCCTCCTGGATAAAAATTACATTATCAGCTATATATCTCATTTGGTGTTTATTTTTGTTCTCAAACTAAATTACATAGACAGTCATCTCCCCCCACCCCAGCCAGTAATTGGTTCTATTGCATAAGGTCAACTTTAAGTGAGTTGAATAGAATTCAAAAGCTTTATAGCATTGGGGAAATATTACAGGTGATTCGTTTGTTAGCAAGACCCCAAGTCCGGTGGTTCTCGGCCTCCCTCATGCTGCGACCCCTAAACACAGTTCCTCGTGTTGTGGTGACCCCCAACTGTGAAATTATGTCTTTGATGCTTCATAACTGTAATTTTGCTATTGTTATGAATCATAATATAGATATCTGATATGCAACCCCCAAAGGGGTTGTGACCCACAGGTTGAGAATCACTGCCCAGGTCCCTATGGTAGAGGCCAAGCAATTTATCTAACAGCCTGGGCAGATCTGGCCTTGGGGGAGGGGAAGTGGATGTGCTGGGGCCCTGAAAAAGTGTGAGTGTGTGTGCATGTGTGAGAGAGAGAGAGAAAGAGAGAATGAATGTGAGCATGTGTGTGTGCGTCTGTGTGTGCACACGAGCAAGCACACGTACATGGAGAGTGGCCCCGGGGGAACTGCAGATCAAGAGCAGGAATAGGAAGTCCATGCAGCACCCGCTCACACACCAGCGTGTTCCAGCCTCTTCGAGTCTGGAAGCAGAGATTGCTTAATTTCTCTTAATTTATCACACTAAACCAAGGCAAACAATTTCAAGATTCCCATCTGGAGGTACTTATTCTGAAAAAATCCCAAATTACACTCTTTCCAAATGGCCTTACATCTTTTTCAAATCCCTGCATTTGTAGACTTTAAATATTTACATAACCCCTATTAACTTGTTGCTGGTCGCTTTTCACTGATAGTAACAAAGCAAGGACACAGTGGAAAAGGCTCTCTGAGTCACGAGGTTATTGACGGGTGAAAGGCATTGACTCTGAGGACTCGCTCCTCAAATTCATTTCTTGTTTAGTTACAAATTTGGAGGCCTCCTAACTCTGGCTGTAACAGCTCCGCTCACATGAGTGGAAATAAAGAGAGGCAAAAGCTGTTAGCTGCTGACCTCGAAAAGCCTTCCCTACTGAAATGACAGACGCGCAGTACTCTGGTAGGCATCAGGCTTGGAGGCGCTGGAAACCAAAAAACTTGTGATGGAGAAAATGACCGTGTGCCTCAGGCAGAAAACCCAGCCTTAACAGATCTGTATGATAAAGTTTCCAAGTCGATTCAGAAGAGCGTTCAATTTTGACATTTTGGAGAACGGGATGTCTCATAAGGAAAGCTCCTCCCCCCAAATGTCTGTATGAATGCTTCGTGGGTGATGGTATTTACCGTCAGGAGTGAGGCTTGAACCTCCTCAACCTGAATAAAGGCTTTTCCTCAAAAGGGAATGGCTCGTAGTTTGCATTAGAGAAATCAACTAATATCTATATGCATAAAATGAAGATGACATTTTCTCTTAATCTTTATCAGTATCTCTTGGGATGGTCTGGGGAAATGTTACTGAAAAGCTAAGGGGAATTCATACTGTCGAATGCGGGGTAACTTGGAGTAAGGGTAAGGTGTCCCTAAATACTAGAGGAACAGATCCCCCCGCCCCAAGTAAACCCTGGCCAATGAAGACACACTCTACAGTGCCCAGAACCTCTCTCGTAGAGCTGGCAGGCAGGTAATCTTGGACAGAGAGTTGAGATTCATTCTAGGAAGTAAACACAGAGTCGTGTTCAGCTGCCTCGTGTTTTTCCTTCCCAGGTTCCGGTTCAGTGGGAGGATCCTCGGCCTTGCGCTAATCCACCAGTATCTGTTGGACGCCTTCTTCACGCGACCCTTCTATAAGGCTCTTCTCAGAATGTAAGTGTATGTCTGTGCCTGCATAATCAGCCTCTAAAGCTCAAACGGGCTTTCCTGAAGAGGTTTCGTCGGGGACTCTGCTTATCTGCGCGCTATCCCAAATCGGTGGCTAAATGCATAGTGGTTTAGAGTTAAAAAAGCAAATACGGTTTCAAATGTGGCTGTTAGCTTCTGACCCTTTGTTTCTGATGACACACCACGTCTTGGTTTTGTTCGCCCCTGAATATTTGGTTCTCCTCTGTGGCAACACATGTTTCTTTAAAACACCCATACATCAAACACAGCACTGAGATTCTTGCGGCCTCGACGCCGATTATTAATAGAATGGTGTGGATTAGTCCCCGGTGACTCACAGCCTGTGCCCTTTGTGAAGTGTGCGTTGTTGTTTGCCGTGTGCACTTCCAACAGCTTGCCCGTGGTCACAAGTTCATTTTCTTTTGTTTAATTTCAGTTTTCCTTTTGGTTTCTCTGCTAGGCGTAGACAATGCCATACTTTTTTTTTTTTTTTTTTGTGACCTTCCTCTATCAAAACAGCAGTGTACGGGGCAAATGGTCTTTTTCTTTGTTTAGGTCCCAATGACAGATAGCAGTCATTGTACAACGTAGAGTAAAAGCGTCCACATATTCTGCCTGTAGTCACTGACGAGACCAAGCGAAAGGCAAGGGTTAGGGAGAGGAAGGCTTGTATAGATGCCAATTGCAAAGCACTGAAGTACGGAACTGTGGCTGGGAGCTCTCTGGCACATTCTTCCATCAAGCCCATGAGCCTCTTGTGAAGTGAAGAAGTCTTGACCTCAAATGAAAACCAACAGAGTGTTTCTCATGAGGCTTTGGCATGCTCAGTAGGAGGACTTTGCTCGTGGGCAACAAGGACCTGCGTCCCTGCTTTTCCCAGGCCCCTCTTGTCACCCCTACATCTCCTTGTCTTCTTTCATAGGTTTCCTGAAAGCCATACCCACCAGTTACATTTGCTCCTAAGTCATTCCGCCCACACGTGCTGTTCCGGCTTCTCTCTCTCTGTGAACACATGGTTGCTATTGATGAGTCCCTATCTTCTTCGATCGTTTTTGCTGCTTCTGATGCTAATATTTCAACTCTGGGAAAGCAGAGACGATCAGAAACTAAAAGTTCTCTCTTCCACCCTCAAAGTTATCCCTGGGTCTTTCCTACCCTGACGCTTGCGACAGTGTTCCTACACCTCTGTGGGCCTTTCTTGGGACTTGCCCTTCACCTTGGGGTTTCAGAAGCTTTCACCCCACGCCCAGCTTTCCTCTCTCTAGAGCTGCCAGAAGGAAATTCCTCCACTTGGCTTCTTCTCCTATGGACCACTGAATCTAACCCCGAGTCTTGCTCTCTTGAGTTACAGGCTCATGGGAACAGTCCTCTGAACAAGAAGTCCTGCTTCTTGGGTGCCTCAGGGGGACTCCAAATCTGCATAGTTAAAGAGGAACTCTTTGTGGGCGTCGAAGTGAAACTTCTTCTTATGTGTCCACCAGACGTTAATGGTCCACACGTTCTTGGTTATTCTGGTTAGACTTCGGAAGGGGATCCTAAGCAAGCAGAGCAGATAAAACAGTGTAGGTTTTCAAGTTGTGTTCTTGGTGATGCTGGGACAAAATGCTTGACCAGAGCAGCTTAAGAGACAGTTTGTTTTGCCTTACAGTTTGAGGAATGCCAGGCATCCTGGCAGGGCAGCTGGTAACATTTCATCCTCAGTTAGGAAGCAGAGAGAGTGTTCAATTCAGGTGCTTCTTCTTCTTCTTCTTCTTCTTCTTCTTCTTCTTCTTCTTCTTCTTCTTCTTCTTCCTCTTCTTCCTCTTCTTCCTCTTCTTCCTCTTCTTCCTCTCCTCCCCCTCTCCCTCCCCTCCTCCTCTTCTTTCTTCTTCTTCTTTCTCCTTCTCCTCTACCTCCTCCTCCTTCTCCTCTACCTCCTTCTCCTCCTCCTCTTTCTCTCTCTACCTTTTCCTCCTCCTCTTCTTCTTCTTTCTCCTACTCCTACTCCTTTCTGGAGCCCCAGCCCATAGAATGGTTGGTTCTGCCCACATTTGGATGGCATCTTCCACTACAATTACATTAATCTAGAAAATTCCCCACAGGCATATCCAGAGGCTATCTCCTTGGTGATGCTGCGCCCCGTCAGCTAACACTAGTGCCCTTCACGGCATCCTCCACCTTCTCTTTTCCCGACCCAGGGGTTATTTTCGAAGGACGCGTGGTGCTTTTCCCACTGAAATCACGTGACCTCAGAAATCTTCTCAAGTTCGTTTCACTGAAAATTGTTGATTGAATCAGGCAACATGGTTGAGATCTAAGAGCACCTTTAAGAGTTGGCTTGTGACGTGAATGTATTTGCTGTCCTTATTTTAGGTCATCCTCCTTTATTGTCAGTGTGTCTGTCTCCCCAACAAGATCACTTCCTTCCCAGAGCAACCGGTCCCCCAAGCAGTTATTAATATGTGTGGCACACATTCGATACCTAATAAATATCTAAAATAAACCAAACAAGACAGCCCTTGAAGTTGAGCTGGCTGAAGGACAGGAAATTTCAAAACAACTATAGCAAATCAGTTACTACCCCCTAACACCGGGGCATAGAACAGTAATCTAGCTCAAGCGACTCTTGTCGCCACAAAGAGAAAAAGCCCCGGTGGAGTGAAGGACAGGAAACTTGGTTGATTTTTTTTCCTCTGGCTTACTATTGTGATGGTGGCGGAATAAGAACCAGGAGAGAAAGGACGTTCGTTACAGTATCTAGTCTTGTAAGAAAGGCAAGTGAAGAACAAAGTTAAAATACAGAGAAATCAATAAGAGATTTCAAATGGGCGAGACAGTACGTTTTGATAGGATAGCACAGCAGAAGAGAATATTGGCGCACGTTTTCAGCCTGTGCCGGCTCCAGATCTGGCACTGGCTGCAGATGGCCGTGTATATGACAGCCATTCTTTGTGCCTCCTGGTTCTATTTTTGGGAGAAGAGATAGGTAAGTGGTTCCCATGGCGTTTTATATACCCAGGATTTAAAAATGTATGTCACAGTTCTGTCTCACTTCGGTAGCGTGACCACCACGCCCTGGGCTATTCCAGGTACCACCCCCTACTGAATGGGTTTTGTTCTTGTCACCGGGCCTCGGTTCCCAGATTCCCCACGTCTGCGTCTCGCGATTCTGGAGTTTGCCGCTAACTAACGAGGCCTGTGTGCCTGCTTCTGTTTGTCACCCTAGCCTGTGTGACCTGAGCGACCTGGAATATCTCGATGAGGAGTTCCACCAGAGCCTCCAATGGATGAAAGACAACGACATCCATGACATCCTGGACCTCACGTTCACTGTGAACGAAGAGGTGTTTGGACAGGTCTGTTACAGGCTAACGGGAGGTCGCTGGCTGGTGGAAAGCCAGCTCCATGGCTAAGATCAATGCCAGTCTCTTCTCTGTGGCTCATTGGGCGATTGAACCCAGGACTAAACAGTAGTAAGCTGGAGTGCAGAGATTATTCTAATGCCAACTACAGTTTAAGGTGTTCTCATTTATAGGTTATGAGAAGGATTTATATATTATAAATAATCTTCTTACTTCCAACTCAAATGGATATGGGATATGAGACTATCTAGAGATATCTAGAGATGGGATAATATATCTCACACAGAATACATTTGAATAGTCTCTGTTATCCCTGAGTTGGATATGAAATTATTTAATTTTAATATGAAATTAAGGTCCATTTATTTCCAACTCAATGGATATGAGATATGAGACTATCTAGAGATGTGAAAATATATCTCACACAGAATACATTTGAATAGTTCCTCCTATCCCTGAGTTGGATATGAAATTATTTAATTTTAATATAAAATTAAGATCCATTTAGATTGAAAAACTGTAATCAGTTGCTTTGAAACAGAATATTTTTGAAGAATGCCTGAAAACAGAGAGCATATTGGTTTTATTTTCAATTTGATGGCAGGGAAGACTAAGATTCCTATCAGGAGCCTTGTATTAGTTCTCCCTGGGCACTGGGACCAGGAGCTATGTATTAGTTCTTGCTGGGCATTGGGATTCACCTGGGTCCCCTGTAATCCATGTGCTTTGAAAACTGAGCTCTCAATTTAAGATTACTCAGGTATGTTTCTGTTTTCCTTAGGTCTATCTTTTACACTGGCTCAATAGGTATAGTTGATTCCAAACCTTAGATCAATGGTTCTCAACCTGTGGGTTGTAACCTTTTGGGAGTTGAATGACCCTTCCCCAGGGGCCCCCAAGACCATCTGCCTAGCAGATACTTGCATTATAATTCTTATGAAATAGCAATGAAATCATTTTATGCTGAGGGGGTCCCCCAATAACATGGAGAACTGTGTAATAGGGTCGCAGCAGCATCAGGAAGGTTGAGAAGCACGGCCCCAGATGCTTCTCCCTGCTGTGGGATGCACCTGAGGCGGAGAAGGGCTGGGTGCCTGGCCTCAGCTTGTTGGTAGCTGTTAACAATCCAGCGTGCTGCTTTCTGATCAGGTCTTCTCCTTCATAATGGCAGATTACTGAACGAGAGTTAAAACCAGGAGGCGCCAACATCCCGGTCACAGAGAAGAACAAGAAGGAGTACATCGAGAGGATGGTGAAGTGGAGGATCGAGAGGGGCGTGGTACAGCAGACGGAGAGCCTAGTCCGTGGTTTCTACGAGGTGAGGCAGCAGCGGCGGCAGACTCTGCGCTTCCACAGCTCGGCTGCCCGTCCCTTCTACCAGGCTCCCCATAGAGAATATGTTTCTCTTCTCTCTTGCCACATTTGCTCTTGTTCTTTAATTCAGAAAGTCACATATGTTCCCGTATGTCTCCAAAGTACACACGTGAAGTTATAAGTTTACCATGCATGTTAGAAGAGATCGCGGAAGTGAGTGGTACCCTGGTCTTAGGTGTACCATTTTAATGGCTTAATGACTACTGATAACTTGGAAGTTATGATTCTTACTCATGCGTAGATACGCACAATCAAATCTCCCACCTGATATGTGCAGTGATTGCGTGGACAGGCCAGAATTTATCATACATATTCCATGTAACTTTCTCTGTAAGACCACTAAATCTTTTTCAAAAGGAAAACGACAAACAACTAGATTACTCAGTGGTCAGTTGTGCGACAAAGTCCTCCTATTCTAGAACTCACTGGACACTTGCTTAGCTTCTGAGACCAGAGGAGACCTAGCAGGGTGTGTGGGATATGGTGATACAAGAATTCTCAAGGCTAATCCTACCGACTATCAACCAATCTGCACAGTAGGACAAGTTTAGCATACTAGTTCCGAGTATAACTAACCATTGTCCTCGCGAAACTCCCTGTGTCCTGCACTTCTGATGAGGCTTCCTGATGGCTGACGTGTCCCTAGGCTCCTAAGCCATGCCTGTGGCCTTTCTGTTTCGCAGGTGGTAGATGCCAGGCTAGTATCTGTCTTCGATGCGCGAGAGCTGGAGCTGGTCATCGCTGGCACCGCTGAAATAGACCTCAATGACTGGAGAAACAACACTGAATATAGAGGCGGTGAGGTTTGATTCGTGAATGTCTAGATTTAAGTTCCAGCGCGGGTCTGAGCACAGGGCAAAGGCATTTGCTTTAATCGCTGGTCTGCCGCTGTTTTCCGGGAGACCCTGGGCGAGGTGGGTCCCTTCTGTACCTACTGACTCCATTAGTCAAAACGGGGAAGGACTGTTTCCACCCCTCTGAGGATGTCATAACTCCTAATTGCCGGTGAGGAAATGTGATCATTAGACCTCCAATTAATTATCGGATGACGTCGTTAGTGAGGCACGAGGAGGCTCTAGCCAGCTGGTTCAACCCTACCTGACTGATCTACATTCTAAACCTCCAAGTGCCACACCCTTTGGGCTTCCTAACCCGCACAGGTGAGGAAGAACAGAGTTCCTTGAACTCTCTGTCAGTGAGAGCTCACAGTTAAAAACCCTAGCAGGAACAAGATAGGGGGTCTCTAAATTCGCACGCCCATCTGCAAGACCCTTCTCAGCTGGAGCTCGATTCTGACTGGAAAGGGAACTGCTGTGGGATCATTTTAAGTGGGGGCTCTTCGGAAGCGGCTCTCTGTAGATCAGCGTACAGCTCTGGCTAGTCATTTGGACCAGTGTGACCGGGTTTGTCCCTTATTAAAAAGCGGAAACCTAAGGGCAGCCCGGAGTTCTGTCGAATAATTTCCAATGAAGAAAGTATGCCTTCCTGGGGTGTGCGGTAGTGTTAGGGTTTTCTCGGAAAGGTCATGTTAAATTGGTGGTTCTACCAGTGCTCTTTCTGAAGTCAAACTGTGCAGCCGATTTTCCCTGGCTGGACCCATGTAGCATCCCTCTATGATCTTGGTTATTAAAGATGTCTTTGTTAGCTGTATTGGTTTTTTTTTCTAATTAAAATGTAATTTCTCTGATATCCCACCTAACTTAAATTTTGTGGTAAATATGATTTCCTCGTATCATGTTCCCAGGAGATTCTAATAGAATACAGCCATCAAATTAGTCACTTTTGTATTTACATAGTCTAAGATTTTTTTACTTGCTTCATGTGACTAAATCAAGGACCTACTTTAGTGGTAAATCTTCCAGAATGAGACCTTAGAAGAGACCAGAAAAAGGACAAGATACTGAGCTGCCATGGTTGCCCAGGGCAGCTAGCTAGTTGGCACTGCACAAAAAAAAAAGGAGTTAGGCTGTGGCTTAGCATCTGTTTCTGCAGCAGCTGTTTGTGGGCAACGTCACTCTCCTTTCAAGATAGACTTAGCACAAGCAGTGAAGGCTTAGCTCGCAAGGACAGGAAGCGTCAGAGCCCCAGAGCTAATGCACGCACCCATCAGTCTCACTAGCAAAGTCTTTCCAAAGACTGCACCCGATCGAATGCTGTTTACCCTCCACTGAGACTCTTTCTTCTCCAAGGGGAACAGGCACCCTTAATGAGAGTTCCTGGTACACTTTACAACCATGGGGCCTTGAGGATGCGTTCAGATGAAGGTTGATTTCTACTCACCTTCGTCTCTACTCACGTACAGCCCAGAATTAAATAAAGTAGCTTTCGTAAGACGTGACTACCACTTGATTTGAATCACTATTGGCTTGGGAATTCCTGTCAGCCTTCCCTTTGAGCTGGGCTATCCTTTGCTGAGAAGTTAGAACACCCATCAGCACCGCTTTCGCCCAGATCTGTGAGATAGTGTTGGCATTTTGTGTGAGAGAATATTGACATGTCCTACAAAAATATAAGGTGATTGTGACGTTTCGTTACATTCTTCTAAAGTATGAACCAAAAGTAAAATTGAGATCATTCATTGAAGAAATGAAAGGTCTCTTTCCTGTTTATTAATAAATAGTGCAAAAATCATTTGGTTTTATTTCTATTTTAATTCTTTTTGGTGTTGCTGGGGATTGAACTGAAAGCCCTGGCCTTCCTAAGCAAGTGCTTTGCCATTGAGCTTCATGCCCGGTCTCAATAATTTGGTTTTACTATGAACTATGAATAGGATGGATAGCTTTTAGGGATGCACGTGGAATTGAAATAGGCAGCTGCAAAAAGAGTGTCCATTCTTCGTAAAAATTGTGTGATTGATGTGTTTTTCTTTCACCAGGAAGTCCTGTGAGGGTCTGTTTTCTCTGTCATTAGATGCCCCCTAGCTTAGTCTAGTGCTTGGCGTAATGGTATTTGGAAGTTATTTCTTATAGTAATAACTAAAAGAGTTAAGCATTTCTCGTCATAGCAATTGTATTTTTCAGAAATGATGGAGCTGAAATCACTTACTTGTCTTTCTTCTCACTGCTAAATGAAAGTAGAAGTCCGTTGGGTTCGTGTGTGCTGTCTTGTTCAACTCTGGATTCCCATATGATCTCATTGATAAAGTTGCTCTCTATCTTGCATTATAAACAGCATTTAATTTGTGTGTAGGGCATTATGGGCCTTTGTCATGCTTCTTGGTAGTTTAAGATGGGAAAGTCAAAGTAACATGCGCTTTCGTGGTGGATTCTAGGGTACCATGACAATCACATCGTAATTCGGTGGTTCTGGGCTGCGGTAGAACGATTCAACAATGAACAGCGACTAAGGTTGTTACAGGTAAGAGGCCACCGATTCATCAGTTTTTAACACAATTACATGTTGTTGGAAGACAGATCTTTTTGAACTCCAGTGCACGCTTAAAATCTCATAAAGGGCAACGGCCAGATGTCGGTGAAGAAATTACTTCTGGCAAAGATATACTGTCACACGCTGAGGTTGTTTGTGTATCCCTCATAGATACAAACCTTGTTTCTCTGGCAATGACATTTTCATACCCTTCTGACGGTGGGTCCACCGACTGCATCAGCAGCCAGGTCAAAGCCCTTCTTGAGGGTCGTGTGGAGCCGATTCTGGTCTGGGGAAACTCAGGATTGACATATGCCCCCAGGACAGTCGGGGCCTTGTGGTGACAGCCAGTGGCCTTCTGCAGTCGGCATGCTTCTTAGAAAAAGAGTTGATGTTCAGTACTGTAAGGAAAACCCCATTTGTTGATACAGACCTTTCCCCCCTCACTTGACTTTCCATAGCCTACAGAACGAGGGCATTTTAGGGAACACGTCATTGTGTTCTGTGGCGTCTAGAAAAGCTCCCATCCGGGGAAATGCTGGTAAGAAGCCACTAAAGTACTAGATCCAAGGAAGCCTCTGGACCCTAAGGCACAGCCTTACATGTTGGCTCGTATGTGCCTTTGGATTAAGGACTGGAACTCAGATTTGCGGCCCACAGAATTCCTAAAAGTCTTGCGGAATTGATGACAGGCTGATGCTAAGCAAGTTTAGGTGAATTGGTAGACCCATGGCGTTCATCTGTCATGGGACATGTGCCTGGCTTAAACATCCGAGCGGGTCAACTGCACAGAATGCTTTATCTTCTATCAATGCTTTGCACCTCACTCCCAGGTATAATTGACTTCCCTTTCTCCGTGTGGCTGAGTGATTGTCAGACTGAGTTTTGGTTCTCCCCATGCTGAGGAAACTTTGACTTCTGAAGCTCCCTGCTTGTGCCTCCTACTCGGGAGTGCGACGCAGCCATCATGGAGCTCCGATCCTTACTGAGGTTTCTGACTTCGCCTCTCTCCTCTGTTTCTGTGACTGACAGTTCGTTACAGGTACCTCTAGCATACCCTATGAAGGATTCGCTTCTCTCCGAGGGAGTAATGGCCCAAGAAGGTTCTGTGTAGAGAAATGGGGAAAAATCACCGCACTTCCCAGGTAAGGTAGAAAATGACCTTCTTTTCCTCCCAATACAGCGCAAGGAAACCTCAGCTTAATCTATATTTTATAGTATATTCATATATATATATATATTTAAATATATTCCTATTTATATGAATGAATGAATGAATGAATGAATGAATATACGTGTGTATGGATCAATTGCCGTTTTATGTGAAGACTTGAAAACTGGAAAGCTTGAAAGATGAAATTCTTTAGTGGGGAAAGACAAGAGACCCCGTGTAATGTACACGCATCCGTGTATCAAAGTATAAAACACAGCAAAGGCAGACTATTTACTAGCTTTAGTTAGGCACTGTCTGTCCGAGTTGGGGTTTCTATTGCTGTGATGAAAGACCGTGACCACTAGCTAGCTTTTCTTTAAGTTTGGTTCATTGGGTATGCAATTTTTTAAGGCTATTTTTTATCATGGAAAGTTTTTCTTTCTCCTTCAACTATGGCAGACACTTTTGCTAGGTCTGTTTTAGCTGGCCATGGCTGTCTTGCAGGACTCGGAGCACAATGTTTCTGGTTTTCAACACTGATAACACCAACAGACATGCTCTCGTGGATGGAGGAAAGTGCGGGAGGCCACAACCATAGACAGAGAATGATAGGCAGGCAAGGAATGCTGAAAGTGGCAGAAACTGTCTTCCCCAGGGAAGAGCTCACCAGTTATTGTCCAATACCAGATGGTCAGCCTTGACCACATGCCTACAAATAGCATCATATAGACGGTGCAGGTTGTATTCATGTGTTTAGGAATACACACACACACACACACACACACACACACACTTATAGGCAAAGAGGCCATAAATTTGAAAGAGCAAAGAAGGGGACATGGCAGATTTGAAGGGAAAAACGGGAAAGGCGACAGAATGTGATTATATTATAATCTCAAAAAATACTTAAAAATGAATAAAAAGCAAACATCAACAAAACCATCATGACCAAAAGCAAATTTCAGAGGAAAGGATTTATTTCACCTTACAACTTATAGGCCATTACCCAAGGGGATCCAGGGCAGGAACTCAAGGCAGGAACTGATGGAGAGGCCATGGAGGGGAGCCACTTACGGGCTTGCTTCCCACGGCTCATTCGTCCTGCTTTCTTATAGCACCCAGGAAACACCAACCCAGGTGTGGCACCACCACAGTGAGTTGCACCCTTCCACGTCAATCATCGATTACAAAAAAATGTGCCAGAGTCTTGCCCACAGGCAATGTGGTAGGGCATTTCCTCAAGTGACATCTAAAACGACTCTAGCTTCTGTCACCTTGGTATAAGCTAGCGGGTCCAAAGCTCTAGCGTGAAGGGTGTGTTATAAACGGTTGAGCAGGACTTCCCTAGAAACACCGCTGTGGGTGGAGAGGAGTCCGTCTCGTGGGTACGCTCTTCCTCTCTGGTATGTGGTCTCTGTGCTGTCATTCCTTTTGAATGCCCTGCAGCTGGTTCTCCACGCTGCCATGCACCTGGTTGCGGTGGAACGGCATTGTGTGGCTAGCAATCAGTACACAGGGCTGGCAGATAGTGCTTGGGCAGAAAGGCATTTAGGAGGTTAAATGGCGACAACTCGGGCTTGCCTAAATGCCTCGTGTACCTATGTGTATCACAAACCGTACGTGGTCATCCTGCAGCCCAGACTTAGTATCTTGTCAATTTGATACCCTAAATTGGATGGCTGTGACTTTCAGCACTTAAAGAACTTGTTTGTTTTATTCCATGTGCCTCGTGCTTGGGTAGCGAGGCTCCCCACCTCCCCGTAATGCATATTTGTCTCTTAAGAACAGATTTCTTCTATCTTGATAAGGTTTTCCACTTTCTGAGAAACTTAAGGATTAGCCTAGGAAACACAGGAAGCTTCAGATCAACTGTGTGCCACATGGCTATTGAATCTTTTCCGGCGAAGCCACTAAGGTTGATGAAATAATGTCTGTTATAATAGCTGTTCACACTTAACCCCTGGAACCTGTTGAGCAGAGAAAGAGAGTTCCTTACCACCCTCTTTCTCATTTGCCTCATACTGAGGGCTCGCTGAAGTCTTTTGCATAAGACACACTGTTCATTGGCCCTGCGTTTTCTGCTGGCCACCGCTATGGCTGTTGCTGCCATGTCTGTCACCACCATCTGCAATTAGGCAGTGACACATTTAGGCATGCAGAAGGTGGTAAGTTAGAACTCCCGGGTCCAGTTCTGCTTTGTCACCAACAAACTCTGGGGGCCTCGGAGCCACTGCTTTCTGCGTTGCAGGGCCCAGTTGGCTTGTCTATAGACATCAGGAGGGGGTGGCGTGTTGGTTCAACTGAGAGGTAACGCACAGACGGTTGCTGTAGAGTCTTGGGGGTTGTCTGGCATGTCTACTTCCCCCTGGTAGTTCCAGAAAGTTCTCACGCTGACTCATTGTAGATGGAGTTGTTCCTCAGAGAATGGAAATGCACGCTTGGATAACAGCTATGGTCATTCTTCCTCTCTTCCTGGGCAGCACCTGGTTCGACCCTGATTATAACCTGGCATAAATCAAAGGTGTGATTATCCATCTCTGCAGAGCAGAAATGACAATGCCTGGCTCAGAGATTAGTTCTAACACTTGAGCGAGATAATGTGTTGGAAGGTCCTTAGGGAATGTATGCTTTCTTGTTTCTTTTTAAGCCTTTAATCCTTAACCTCTGTAGGTACTGTATTACTCAGATGAAATTCTCTCCCCCTCCCTTCCCTCCCTCCCGTCTCTTTTACACACACACACACACCGAGTTCAGACAAAATCATAATACAAACAACCTCAGCGTGTGACAGTATATCTTTGCCAGAAGTAATTTCTTCACCGACATCTGGCCATTGCCCTTTATGAGATTTTAAGCGTGCACTGGAGTTCAAAAAGATCTGTCACGTCAGTTCCAACCTAAAGACGTTATTTTATATTACTGAGTCTAGTAATCTTAAGACCAAAATATATGCGCTCAAGTCATTTTCCTGCCACTTCCTGGTAGATGTGAGTCACAGAGCTGGGGAGCTGGTCTGTCTCAAGTCGGTCAGCTCTAGCGTGTTCTTTTCCCTCCAAGAGGCTCTGTCTGTGTCTAGGGTTTCAGTTGTGACACTGTGCGTATATACTAGATACATCGGGTGGAGGGCCTCCTTACTAAAAGTAAATGTATTCTTAAGTCCCCTGCTACAAGTTTGGCAATCTTCGCGTGACAGTCTGTTATAACCTGCAGAGCTGGAAGGGTGTGAAGGGTGACAGCCAGCTGTCCTTGCAAGCCAGAGTGATGACAGAGAGCCTCTTGGCCTTTCCAGACAGGCAATTCAGTCTTTTGGCCTTCTAAGCAAGCAAGGGGTTGACCCTTCTTCTTTGATTTCCTAGTCTCATTTTGTGGTAGCCCTGACCACGACGTGCCCCGAGACATGTATTAAAGTATGTATAGTAACCCCTGAAGTCAGAACAAGTGGCATCCATGACTTTCCCAGCTCCTCTACGGTAATAAAGTAACCGGCGATTTAGCGGATAAATAATCATAGAGACTTGATGGTGTCTCCGTGGAGACCAGCAGCCTGAGCACATTACTGCACTTCCTCTGCTTTGTGGTCGGTGGCTGGACTAGCTTTGCATTTGCATCTCTGTAGAAGCCTCCCTGCCCCCCGGAGCTCTGACGGATTTTATGAGTAAAGAGTAAACCCACTTTATGGCATTTCCTCTTGACAGTGCAAAACAAAACAAAACAAAAAAAAGTACTGTTCCCATGCCAGCCTGCAGGGTACAGGGCCCTTCTCTCCCCGATCTGGATAAGAGCTCCCAAGTTTATCTGAGGTTTCTGCCAATGGAGTTGAAGAAGAAGAGTTAGAAACTGCAGTCCGGGTACAAGGGGTGGCGTTTGACAAAGGAGAAAGTGTTAATTTGGGAAATTAGTTGTATCAAGAGACTATTGAAAATAAAATGTCCACCCAAAAGTTAGGAAATGGAATGCAAGTGCTCACTCGAAATAGGGGTCTCTCAGGGAAACTGCTTTACGCACTAGACTAGGGCTGGTATTTTGCGATCTGTGAGCTCAGGCTGACCTTGAATTTGTGACCTTTTGCCCTTGTCTCACTGCTCTCACCGTTCTGGCCTGGCACCAGAGGTACACATAGTGCCATGCAATGAAACAGACCTGGAAAAACACAATGCGCGCTCTCTCTCTCTTCCCCTCTCTCCCTTTCTCTCTCTCTCTCCTCTCCCTCTCTTTCTCCCCCCTCCCTCCTTCTCTCTCCCCTCCCTCTCTCTCTTCCCCTCCCCCTCCTTTTCTTCCCCTTTCTTTCCCCCCTCTCTCCCCTTCTCTTTTCCTCTCTCTCCCTCTCTTTCCCCCTTTCTCTCCCTCTCTTTTTGTATCTTTCTCCCCCTTTCCATCTCTCTCTCTCCCTCCCCCCCCCAATGAGAACCATCTTCCCCCTGTAAAATCCTATTTGTTATTCTTATCATAAAAAGAAAACTTTTTGCAGATGTGCCAAGGAAGATATTTAAGTTTTAGGGTACACAACACATGTCAGTCAACAGTCCAGCAGCGAGAGAAGTCCTCTCAGCGGTATGGAGAATCTGATCCCGTCGTCCTTCAGATTCTCACACGCATGCATGCATGAGGACAAAACTTGCTCTGCAGAGCATGTCTGCAAGCTGCTTTTGGGGCATTGCACCATTAATTATAAACCTCTTTCCATGTATTTAAATATCGCTCCACGATGTCATCAATAATGCAGTTTCTCCTCCTCCAGTGGAAGAGCGTTGTTGACAGTCAAGGTGAGCTTCCAGCGAGCAAATAGGCTGACAGCAGAGGAGTCCCATGATAAACTGCTCCTTTGCTCAATTACAAACATTAACCAGACAAGGATGCGCCCTGGAAATACCCTTTGGGGCCACTTCTTTTGAAGCGTCCAGCTGCTGGCGTCTGGGGTGGCTGTGAGGTTCTCATAGTTGAGTCTCTAATCCAGCGTCCCTCTTGGACACCTCTCCACACCGCCCTCCTACT